TGATTCAACCACTCAACCACTAGATGCCGCTGAAAACAACAAATCCTACACACTGTGCCTTTAAGTAAAAATAATACAGAATAGTATTAGTTAGTATTATTAGTCAGTTAGTATTATAGTATTAGTATAATTAGTTCATCAAGTCCTATATGTCCCAGTGCAGAACAAAGCCTGACAATTTTTAATTAAAATTATTACTTTAAGTAGAGATGTTTGTGCCTGTTTATTTTATTTTACTTATTTTTTTAATTTATTTCTTTATTTCTTTATGTAAAATCTTTCTAATGATGATCATGAACTGACCGGTAACTTAAACACCCAATAGAAAACGTTTTTTTAACTTTGGCAAGCAAATAAAAAAAAAAAATGCAGATCTTACCAAAATGTATCAGCAGCTTTACATTTTTAGTAAATTACAGATATATAAGGGAGAAAATCAGAATTACTATTATTTTCTAGAATATAATTCAACAACTACTTTGAGAGCTCATAATCATGGCCAAAAAAAAATCAGATCTTTAAATCATTAAAATCGATTGAATTTATTTTGTATTCTGTTTATGGTTTTGACTTCTTTAAGGTTGAAATTTGAAGTACATCCTTGTTTCTTTCCAGCAAAGGCCGTCAAGCTACAATGAAACTTTCTGAGTCACAGACAGTGAGAGACGCCCGGCATTCACACAGCAGCTGGAGTCAGGATGCTGAGTCTGACAAAGACCGGCACACGCAGCGCGTACATCGTGTCTTCACACATATTCCTCGTGAATGTCCCCGAAGCAAGTCGCCCTGCAGGAGTCATTTTAACTTCAGAGAAGTGAAACAAAAGCTGACACGACAAGCCCATGGATCAAAGCTAAACGAGAAGAACAAGTCAAAGGTATTAGGTTATAAAGTCGAGAGAGCTTTAATTGGACAGTTTTTAAAACATCCATTCAAAGTTCTGACTCTGGATAACGCCAATTTGTTTTGCACGTGACTTATTTTAGAAAACACAAAATTACTATACCTCTCCATGTTTTACTTATGGTGCATTCAATTTTTGATATTGATATAGTTGTAGCTGAAGTTTAGTCTTAACCTTGACACAAACTCTAAAGTGCTTCTCATTTTGTTGCAGCCTTGTTTAAAACTAGAGCATTGACTAGAGTCAACCCAGTTTGTCTGTTAGCAAAATATCTCAAAGGACAGAATTTAGTGAAGCTTTCAGAAAATAATCAGTGGATATACAGTACATCTGCAGCTGATTAAGTTTTGGAGTCAACCCAGTTCAACATTTCCACCATAGCTAATGATTATTAACCAGCACAAAAACAACAAGGCAGTCATTTTTTACAGATATGGAGCTGGAAACTAAGCTGAACGTCGCATATTTTGAGTTGGACCAAAATGGCTACTCAAATCATCCACTCTTAAATCATCAATTTTCATCCGTATTGCTGATTCTTTTATTAAAAATAAACACTACACCTTTATAAACATTAACATTTATTATATTTTGGCATCAGATTTAAGCCCTGCAGAAGCTGTGACACGACATTACCGGCAGGGCCGGTTCTAGGAATGCATATTTGAGGGGACAGACGGAAATATTAAGGGGGCGTCATGCGTACACATTGTGCTCCATTACATTTGTTGTTGTTGTTGTTATTTAGTATTTTCTTCATAGGACTGGGTTTTTACTGTCTGCTGTGTCCTACTTCCAAGAGATGGATTGAACTTCCCTAAGATCTGTCCATCTGGGTGTCCCACCTGAAGACGTTTAGAGTCACTGAGGCATTTACCTTATTGGATTACCATCAGGCATTTATGCATCTCAGATAAATTAGAACCATAGAGAGTAACATACTTGGCCAATAAAGCTGATTCTGATTATAGGCCTATAAGACACATGGCTGTGTCTCAATTCAGGGGCTGGGTCCTCATGAGTGCGCATTTGTCGGCCGCATACGTCATTGCCCCGCGCGGAGGACTGTCCCAATTCGAAGGCTCCTCATCATGCGGCTGAGGAATGCGTCCTACTTCCTGTCAAAATCCGAGGATGCATCCATGCATCCTCACCAGCCGAGGATATCCCAGGATTCAATGCGCGAGCAGCAAAATAAACAGAGGAATGAAGACAGTGGTGTTTTTATTTTTTTTAACGTGTCGGCGCAGTTTGGAAATTACCACGGACCGAAGGATTTGTTTTTTAAAAGTTTAGCAACTTAGCTGATGAAATTTATGCTGCAATAAGATGCTAAATAAACGAGAATGCAACTATAAGTTATGAGAATAAAGTATTATAAGAATAAAATCATAACATTATGAGAATAAAGTCATAATATTATGAGAATAAAATCGTAATATTATGAGATTAAAGTCATACTACGAGAAAAAAGTCATAATATTCTAGCCTTTACGTGAAAAAGCATGCAGTTATCACTGCATTAAAATGAGGAATGTTGTCAAGTTGTTCTTTATATTATGAGAATAAAATCGTAATATTATGAGATTAAAGTCATACTACGAGAAAAAAGTCATAATATCCTAGCCTTTATGTGAAAAAACATGCAGTTATCACTGCATTAAAATGAGGACTGTTGAGCAACTTGTCAAGTTGTTTTAGTTTTGCTTAAAATAAATGGATAATCTTTTAGCACATTAGCATCAAATTATCAGTAGCAGGACTTGGATATTGTGCAAACGACTATAAACTGTAAACTATAAACCGTATTGTAATTAATGGATGCATTGACAGATTGAGTCGTCATGTAGCTAATTTGGATGAAATCATATTAATCTGACAGTGACCCAGGTCATCATGGACTACTTTATAAACACAGACACATGGCTGTACAGCAGGTGTGAGGAAAAGCAGCAGGAAATGAGGAACGGAAAATAGTCACGTCATGTAAGATTGTGACTTTATTGTCATAATACAATAAAAAAAATTCTCGTTGTGTGGCCCTAATACTCCGTCGTAAATACTGGAGTTAAACCCCAATTATTAATGTTTGTTTATTTATTTATTTACTTACGTGTAACGTTTTAACTGTGGTTATTCTTCCAGTAAAAAGACATGTAAATACACGTCCCGACGCATTTTAAGTCTGATATGAGGTAACGGGGTAACACATGGTCACGCAAACCCACCTGCCGACGTCAGGCGAAGGGTAGACCGTCTCATTTCACAGCAGTTTTGAGCAGCCTACCTGGCCCAGGGTGGACGTGGCCCAGCCCATGAATTGAGACACAGCYRTTGTCTCGACTTTAAAATCCACATTTCCTGRTTTGGCGACGCCTCACCTTAACAGGATTCAAGTTGGTGCTCATGATGATCTTATGAAGGGGTCCGGCCAGTTTTGTTGGCAGCTTGGGGTCCTTCTCCAAACCCTGAGGCTTAGTGTAGTAATCCAGTCTGGCACGGGAAAAGTAGTTGTTGATTACTGTGACACAGTCGTGTTGTCCTGACGGTGAGAGGAGAGGTGGTTTAAATGTTGGTTACATGTAACAACCTGAGGATGAAGATAATCCTGAGTTTTCTGGTTTTATCAGCAAACACGACAACGTTTGACAGAACAAGGTTTTCATCATTTGCAAATGTTTCAGCAAATATTAAACATTTCCATCTATATAATTAATGCTGAAGTTTCTCTATCATTAGGAAAAACAAAATACAGTCAATTTGTTCTAATAAGAGAAGTACTGTTTACATTTGTAATTTCAATGAAAACAAAAACAAATCAAAAGGCTAACCAACAAAAGCCGCCATCTGCGCAGCGGTCCGTCCTACTGAGTTGGTCACATCCGTTTCTGCCCCGGCATCCAGCATCATCCACGTGATGTCCGTCTTTCCTGAAAGTGCACGGGTTCAATTAAAGCCACAAACGCTTCGTTCAGCAAATCACAGCATCGTGTTTTTATTTGAATGTGCGACGAGTTTCCCATGCTGACGTGAAAGTCACCTGACAGGCCAGCRAACATGAGCGCCGTGTAGCCGTGCTCGTGCTCGTTACAGTTTACATCAGCTCCGTGTTGCAGCAGCAGCTTGCACATGTCTGCTTTTCCTTTGTAGGCAGCGTGCATGAGGGGAGTCATCCCGTACTGGGGATAAAACAAACAAACAAACAAACAAAYAAAAAACCCGTTACCAGAAGCTTTATATTATTCTATATAAACCAACAATGATTATAATGTGCAACACTGCTCTGATTGTTTGCTCCTGTTTCGTTATTTTTACGAATTTCAACAAACCGTGCTGACGTTAAAGAGTAGCTGCACTCGTTTTTCAGTGTTTCATTTCTGTCAATGTGTTTTAAAGAACCACTTGGTGAGCTGAAGTGAAGAACATCGTTTTATCTGCCTTTGTTCCAAATTGATTGTTTTTTTCTTTTCACAACAGAACAACGGTTAGCAAAGTGAGTTGATACTTGTCTTCGTCAATTGACACATTTACTACTCAGTCATTGGTTGAGGGGTTTAGTTTGCAAAACAAATGCCCACATGGGTTTTAAATGGTATTCATTTACAAAAACGTTGTAACTAGGGCTGCCACGATTAGTCGATTAATTGACGACTAATCGATTATTAAAATAATCGATGACTTATTTAAGAGTCAATTAGTCGTTTCTGTTGTTATTTTTTACTTTGTTTTTCTCTCCAAACTGCTTTGACACCTTCCACTGCCACGTCTGCCTTTCTGTCCTTGACACACATGCACAGTAGTGGTAACTGGGGTAGGCTGTGGACGTCA